AAGAAATTCTAAAAAAATATCAAACCAAAAAGAAATTTAAAAGATCTAAATGGTAACCGCCGAATAATCAGGCTGAATCTAAGTTGAATTGCTGGATTCAATTGGATTTATTTGTGATTTGTTTTTATGAAACTTGGCGTTACGAATTCTGGTGGAAATTGCTGAATTTATTTGTTTTGTCTGATTTACTACCAAGATTATAAAAATATTTCAAGGATGCATTACACAATGGGGCATTTTTTGAAATTTTAATTTCATTATAGACAAGACATTTTTTACTGTTTGAATTGCGAAAATATTTTTTTTGCCCCTCATTTATTACAACTATGAATGTGTAAAAGTGGCTGATTTTTGCCCCTCCTCCACAACTCTCTCATCACACACCTCTCTCATCAGGAATCGAAGAGGACTTAGCTTCTCCAGCATTGTCGAAACTTTGGGTTCGTCACGTAAATCGTAGTGAATAATCGTGATTCTCCACCATCGACGAAGCTTTTGAAACTTTTGGGTCCGTACGTTTTGTCTCTTCTCTCAATTCAAAAGAGCTCTTTTTCGAGAAAGTTCCAGATCTAACTCTAATGAAACATACAAGTCCAAATTTGATTCAATTTTCTTTGAATCTGGTTTTGATATTTTTTTATGGCAAACCAAAGGATTGACAAAACGCACACAAAGTGTTCGGGAAAATACCTCAAAGAAAAATCAGATTGTTATACATGCATGGTAATTCGCTAATAGATAGGAAGCATGTAGCGAGTTAGACATAGGGTTTCTGGGTTTGTCGAAACCCGCATCGTTGAAGATTGTGATGTTATTAGCACATCACGTATGGATAGATGTTGGTGGATGGTCACACATGGATACTCCCGCGTGGATGGTCACACATGGATGTCCATAACTTTGATTGGTTTGAATCCAAACGGTGTTAACCATATGGACAACGCAATATGGTCACATTATATATTTACTATGTCATGTTTAACTTGTTTGAATCCAAACTGTGTGTAACCTTATGAACAACACAAAACGGTGTTCTTTGATATATTAATTTTGGGGTTCTTTGATATATTAGTTCTTAAATTTCAACTTCTAATCATGAATCATTTTGTGTTCACTAAGCATTGACCAGAAGGTTATAAACAAATGGACAATGAGTGTGATTGCATTGCTATATTTCTGTCCACCAATCCATATCCACGAGTAGGTTGGATACGATCCATCCCATTATGTCCATCGATCCTCATCCATGATATCGTGTCCATGAGACAAAGCTTTTTCTGGGTTAGTCGAAACCATATTTCTCTCAAAAAGAGGAAACATCAGCGGTGGAATAACCGGTTCCCGTCTCCTCAGGTGCAAAACAAAACTTGATCATTTGTATGAGTAAACTTATAAGAATCTGAAAAATCATACATCCACAAAATCACGACCATCTTATATTATTTATCCATATGGATTTTATTAATTATATTAGTAAACTCATAAGAATCTGAGAATCATACATCCACAAAACCACGACCATCTTATAGTGTCCATATGGATATGTACTGAGGAATGGGAACAAAATGCTTAACAACCAAAAGAAGCGTTGCATTTAATCTCAGCCACTAGATTTTAATGATTTTGTACGGTTGAGATTAGACAGAAGCTAAAAATATGTTTCCCTTCCCTTTAGGGTTAATTTGTCCGAAATATCTCGAATTTTGTGCAAAGATGAGAAAGTGTGTTTGGTTTTGGAAATTGTCTATATATGTTATGTGTTTCCAGTAAAGTGTCTCTATGTGTAATTTTTCCATATTTCAATGACATAATAGCTAAGACATCTGAGAACTTTGGAAGTAAGAGTAATACTTTATGACTTTCCCTTAGTCAGGGCTTAGAACTCTCTCTTTCATCTAGAGTGTTTACTCTTTAGTGGAAGTTAGCTTGGAACCCTTAAAACAGCCGACACATTTGCAGATCTGAGTGTTTAAGCAACATTCTTAAGGTTTTCTTTGATAATCCTCATCCACTTTTAGGGTTTGTTGATATCTCTGCTTTGGATTTTTCCTCTTTCTTCGTTTCTGCTGTCTAGTCAGAGAGCTTCTCAGATCTGTGGAGTTTGATTTAAGTGTGGGGAAGGTTTTGAAGTTTGGTGGTTCGAGAAGGTTTTTTAAGGGCCAGTGGTTTCATTCCGGAAATTTCAGGAACCAACGGTGGTTTTTCGGTCTCGTTTGTTTCTTAAGGAAGATGACTTCAGCCATGAAAGAGCACTAGCTGGACTAAATCTGGATGATGACGACACTCCAGCGGTG